GGTGTCCGGCAGCCCCGGAGGGGCGGGCAGTGCTCTCCCCTTCCCCTCCTGAAAGCGGGCAGCACGTTCTGGTGCCTCCCCAGCCCAGGCAGGAGGGGTTACTGCCCCGCTGCGATCTGCGCGCTGCTGCTTTCATGTCAGGGGAGAGGTTTGGGAAGAGGCTGCAGGGACTGAAACTGTGCTGTCCTATTGAGCACCTCCATGGAGTGAAACTGGCAAGAGGCAGGTGTTTGCAGCTGCCTGAGAAATGAAGCCAGTACCTGCTTCACCATTGCCTGTGAACTTTATTCACCAGGCACGTTGGCATCACACTCTGATTCTGATAGACCTGAGGACAGTTCTTTTAAATCTTGTGATTTGTTCCAGAGAGCAGCACAGAAGAGGGAGGGGGGCATGCAGATGGCCAGCCCGTGGTGATCCTTCTAGGTTGGGCAGGCTGCCAGGATAAATATCTGGCCAAATACAGTGCAATCTACAGTCAGAAGGTGAGTGGCTGATTTATATTTTCATGCAACTGTCATGTGGCTCTCTGAGAAACTGCTGCTTTTCTGCATGTTGCTAAAATAGCTCTAAAGTCTCTCTCAGTCTGGAGAGTCATTGCTGACTTCTCTTGTCATTGAAAGCTCCTTGTGCCTCGGAGCAGCATTAGATAACAGCTGCTGATGTCATCTCTGTGCCCACACCTGAGACGGAAATACTTCCTTGGATAAGCAGCTGCTGTTGTGTAAATCACGAGTGTGTTAAGGCTTTTAAAGCTGTGAGATTGTTCAGGATTGACATGGAGTGCATTAGCTTTTCCAAACAGGTAAATGTGCAGGGACAGACAATGCATTTACTGCTTGCTAATAGGCCAGAGCACAGGCCTGGTGAGGCCAGGCTGGGGAATGTTGCTCCTTCCTTCCCCTGAAGATGTTTCATCTAAATGTAATCCAAATTAATTTTATTCTGTCTGTGAAACAGGCTTCCTGTGAAAGACCTGATCACTAGGAATGGTATGTGTTTGGACTAGAGAGGTCTGTCTGCAAGTTCCCTAAGTGATGGCACTTTCCTTTCCAATACTGTGTCTTACTTGAATGACCCAGCTTGTAGTATGGGGACCCAGTGACATTTTTAGACTTTTGTGTGTGTGTCTGTCAGGATACAAGGATCTTGCAATTCAAATCTGTTTCAGCCCTAGATGGCCAAGTTTGTAGGTTAACAAGTTAATTGTTAATATATAATCCAGTGCAAGAGTCATGAAGTGGCTTGTTCTAGTGAAGAATTAATGAGGTAACTTGTGACTAGGAGATGCTGCTGGGCAGAGGAGGAGCAGGTTCCCTGGCAGGGTGCCAGCTGTACCTTTCTATCAGAAAGATAAGAGTAATGGGAAAGTAGAGAGAGTTTTCGTAGCTCCCTCATGAGGACGTGGATGCAACCATGGGCAGAGGGTGTAGAAGGCCTGAATAACTCGACATCCTCTTCCTCCTTGTTCACTATTTCAGGGAACTCTGGGTGGGAGGATTGTCTTGGTGGCTTTGCCATGTGTTTGTCAGTGTGAGTGAGTTTAGATGGCAGTAAAGATCTAAAGCATTTATAAATGTAGTTCCATGTGCTCTGTTTAGAAACTCCTCCCATGTCCTGCTTCCCAATCTACGCCCCAGTGTAAGGCCTTAACTGTAAAGGCCATTGCTCAGGCATTTCTGAACCAGTGCTCTTCATTTGCACAGCTGGTGTGTTTCAGAAAGGATTATGAAAATTATGTTGATCGGGGTTGAGTCTTAGAGACAGCTGGGAACATGTAGGACCAAGGACAGGAAGAAGTTCCTCTGCCTGATGCTTATTTCAATGTCGTGAACTAGACACATACCAGAGCAGGCCCTTCTCATCAAAATGGCTGATACTGACACCTTGTGAATCAAGGAGGTCATTTTCTCTTCCTGGATGAAGACAAGCACTCTTAAAAGCTTGGGTGGCAGTGTCCCCGGGGGCTGTGCCAGTTAGCACCAGATTTGAAAGGCTCTCAGATGTCATCAAATCCAGGTCCCTGCTACTGCAGAAACCTGTTTGTAATTCTGTGTGCTGATAGGATCAAAATAATCCTATTTTGTATTGGTGCCTTGCTATGGACAGTGAGAACTTTCTTCTGGCCTTGTCTGTGGTTTGTGTTGGGAACCTGTTCCAGGTTGTCACGTTCTTTGTGCTGATGTTTTCCTGCTCCACGTGTTTTATGGCACAGCCTGAATGTGTCGGGGCCTCTCTGTTTCTCCTAGGGCTGCACCGTCATCCGCTACTCAGCTCCATGGAGGATGATCTTCTTCTCTGAGAGCTTTGGAATCAGATCCCTCCAGACCCCAGCCAGGCGGCTCCTGGAGCTGCTTTTTGACTACAGCATTGAAGACAGACCAGTTCTTTTCCACGTGTTCAGCAACGGCGGGGTCATGCTGTACCGCTACGTACTTGAGGCTCTCCACACTCACAAGCCGTTTCAGAACCTCAAAGTAGCAGGCACCATTTTCGACAGCGCCCCTGGCAGAAGAAACCTGAGAGGAGCCCTGCGTGCCTTGGCGACCATCCTGGCGTCCACCAACGTGCTGCTCAAGTATTTCCTGCTGGTGGCGTTTGCCACGGCGGCCGTGGTGCTGCGCATCGCCCTGTACCCGCTGACGCGCTTCCTCCACGAGAACCACTACGACGTGCTGCTGCGGGCGCCCTCCCGCTGGCCCGAGCTCTACCTCTACTCCCAGGCTGATGCCATCATCAAGGCCAGTGACGTGAAGCAGATGGCTGATGCCCGGCAGCAGCTCGGGGTCTCTGTGAAAGCTGTGGACTTCTTGGACTCCCCTCACGTCAGCCACATGCGGGCCTATCCCACCCATTACTGCAACCTCTGCTCCGCTTTCCTCTCTGACTGTGTTGGGGGCTCAGCTCCCTAGGGGTTTAATCGCCTCCAGTGTTTGCCTCTGCTTTGCTCAGCTTCTGTGGGAAATACTTCTTGTGTCTTTGAAGGGAGAAAAGCAGAGACTTCTCAGCTTTTATTTTTTCTCTCCCCTCCCACCCCAGTCTGGGAGTCTGAGAGCCCGCAGGCCGGCCTCTGGGCCAGCCACGTTATAGCAGAAAGTAGATAAGAATTAATTTAAAGTCCTGAAGGTGAAATCCTAGCACAGTTGAAATTGATGTGCTTTACCAAGGTGTCACGGACCAGAGTTTCACACAGTGTTATTTGTTTCTTCCTGTCTCCTGCTATTCTCTGCTTTCCATGTTGTCTCCTTGTTCCTACCTCCAACATGCATGTTCTGCTGCCTGGTACTGATTTTACAATACAGCTCTTCCATGTCTTTGTTGGCTTTTTGTTCTCTGCTGTTTTTTTTTATCTTGCAGTGAGCAAACAAAAGCAGCTCTGCAGGACTCTTCTCTTCTCTTGGTGCACCCCAGCTCTCGTTGTACTCCTTGCTGGAGATTGGGCCTAGAAACCAAGTGTAAGGCCTGGAAAAGGTGTGTGCAAGGCAGCATGACCAGGCTGTCATCTAGTTCCATTGAACAGCTGACATAGAGCAGTCAGAGCAGCTCTGATCCTTGGTGGAAGCTCAAATGTTTGTGATAACTTCTATGTTCTTCAACCAAAAGATTTTAAGTTAACCATTCTGAATGTGTCCTGTGTTTTGTTTCTCTTTCTTCCAGTCTTTTGTGTGTCCTCCTGAGTAGTTTTGCCTTCTTGGAGAACTATTCATTTATTATTGCGTGTCTTTGAGGAGCCTATATTGTGCATCTGGAAATGCAGGGAAACTGGGCACAGCTGTAACACAAAATACTTCAGAAATAGAAAGGTGGAACCGCAGAGAAAAATGAAGCTGTCTCCTGGAACTGTGATTTATACTAGGTGTTTCTCAAATCACTTCCAGCTCACAAATGACCATGAAATTCAATGTTTTTTCCCTGTAATGTTCTCTTCAGATGATCAGTCTTTGCTGTCTGTGCAGCGTGTACTAGGCACACAAGAAATTCCTTCCACCTAGTGAAAAAGTAGCTCATTGCACTGCACTTCAGCCACCTTTGGTTCTCTTGTTTATTTGAGGGAGATGCAGAGATAAAGACAGAGGAGAGCCTGCTGCTGTGTTTACATGTCACAGCATTGCAAGCTAATTAATAGTGTGTTGGACAGGATTAGCCAGCTTTAAATTCCCAGTTAAAGATTGCCAGGAACAGGCTTTGGGGAGGGGCTGTGATGGGCCTGTTTGAACAAGGGGCTGCCCTTGGGAGGTAGGAACATGCCAAGCACAAGGATTTTTGCAGGTGTTTGCTGCCTGTGGGCTGCTGTGCTTGTCTTGCCCACCCTTGGGTGTTGTCACCCACAGTTGCAAAGCACTGGCTGTTCTGAATCGAAACTCAGAGAGGGACAACTCTTGGGAAGCGCTAAAATAGTTTTGAAGTTTAAAACCAGAACCAAAACACCACACAAGTGGAAGCAGAAGGGGAGTTACGGTCAGTGACCAACACAACTGTTTTTAGCAGGCTGGTGTGGAGACAGTTATTTAAAGCAAAGAATAACCCCCTGTTGGGCATGGTTTTAAAGGGGGGCTGGGGTGTATAGGGCAGGTGAGAATTACCTTCAAAGGGGCTGCTGGCCTGCTTTGTCTTCAATTGTTTTTTGAAGTGAAAACTGGCTGCAAGCACAGGAGCCCTTGTTGCTCAGGGTCCAGTCTCTGTAGGTGTGATCCCAGTTTCATCTTCCACCATGATGATGAGCTGTGAGGGCTCCCCTGTGGTGAGGTGTTGCTTCTTGTGGAGGAATTCTCATT